TGGTTCAGGAGCTCGCAATGCTGGTTCTCGGTTAGGTGGTGCGTGCCGGACAAACGGACGGACGCATCGGGAATGTTGGCGCCTTCGGCAATTTCCTGGCTCGGAACCCCGCACCTTTGGGCCAACCGTCCTCCAAACCCGCAGTTAAAGTGCACAATTTGCCACAATGTTGCCTGCTGCCACTTTTTGCTCTTGTTGTTGTTCTTGTTGCTGCTTGTCATCAACAACGTTATGTTGTTATAGCCATCATCATCAGTAGCCGTTGCTTGCCCCCCAATACCAACATTATCATCATCCGCATCATCGTTGTTACGCTGTTACTGCCCCGTGTGCATTGTCAGCTAATTGAATTTTCAGCTCAAAATGAAATTTAATTTATCTTTATTGTTTGTTTATGCCACCAATGACGAAAAACAAAAACAAGCAAAAACCTAAAAAAATCAAATAACAATATACAACACCCCAAAGTATGATAACGAATTTTAATATACGTTGAGACTGCCCTTAAATGGCGCAATGGCGTAAAAACTTCTGTTTTATACAACGTATTGTATTCTTTTTTTTACAATTTCATCTCTTAAAATGATATGGATTAAATAAATACACAAAAATAAAAAATGAATTGTGTCTCAAAAAAAAAGTTTTTTCATAAATTGTATTTTTTTTTTTATTAAATAATCAAAGCTGTGTTAATATCTGATAAGAGCATTAAAGGCTTCGACTTTAAGGGACTTTTTGCTTTTAACGTGTCGCCGATTTGTCTCCCAGACCCTATTTGTTGGTTTAAGCATATTGGTTCCACAAAAAATTTAAACAAACAATTTACGATTATTTTTTTTTTCTTTGCAGATCCCAAAATGAAGCTCCTTCTGGGGCTGATGATGATCTGCCTGGGCTTAAGCCTGGCCAAGGGTGAGTACCATGCAGATAAATCGAAATGGATTCCTCTTATGTTATTCCTTGTCTCAATCAGGCGAGACAAATCTGCCGCCAGTATTCACGCAGACCCTGAACAACATTATCCTGTACGAGAATGTCACTGTGGGTACAGTGGTTTTCCGGCTAGAAGCCTATGATCCAGAGGGCAGTCCCGTCACGTACGGGGCCATCGGGGCTGATCACTTTAGCGTTGATCCTGATTCCGGTAATATTACGCTGATCAAACCACTGGATCGCGAGGAGAAGGACACCTTGAAGTTCCTGGTGTCGATCAGGGATCGCGTAGATCCTGAGGGAGAGTCGGAGCGGGATAATGTGGTCGAAGTACCCATCACCTTCATCATTCTCGACCTCAACGATAATCCGCCAGAGTTTCAGAATGTGTGTAAATTCATTGAATCCCTTTGAACTTTATTGATTATTGTTATTAATTCTTCTGCAGACCCCTTATGAGGCCGATGTTAACGAAGATGCTGCGGTGGGCACGACCATCTTCGATAAGATTCTGGTTAAGGATCGGGATATAGCTGGAGACAGTCTTGATTTGAAATGCTTGCCCCAGCAGCAAAGTCCAGAAGCTTGCAGCAAGTGAGTAGCTGTCAAAAAATATTAAACTATGACTTTGATTCTTAAATATCCAAACAGATTCCGACTGCATGTGAGCAAACGTGAGGCCACCATTCTGGAAGCAGCAGTTGTGCTCAATGACACACTGAACTACAACCAGCGGATGGTCTACCACTTCCAGATCGAAGCCACCGATGGGCCGCACAAGACCCAAACAACTTTTGAGGCCAGGGTGAAGGATGTACAGGACAAACCGCCCGTATTTCAGGGCTCCCTCTCCACGGTGATCGACGAGGACAGTCCCATTAACACCTTGGTTCTTACTGTCCATGCCCGGGATGGCGACACGGGTGAACCAAGGAAGATTGTCTATGATCTGCGAACTAGTATGTCTAAGATTGTGGATTGTTGGAATCTTTCAACCTCATTGGTAACAACTAAACTTAATTTACTTTTTACTTGCTTCCCATAACAGATCCCAATGACTACTTTCTGCTGGACGCTCAATCCGGAGAGTTGCGCACCGCCAAACCGCTAGATCGAGAAGCTCTGGAGGATTCCACAGGCATTATTTCGCTATTGATTCGCGCCCGGGAGCTTGTGAACGGCGTTCCCAGCGATGATCCACTGACTAGTGCCACGGCCAAGGCAACGGTGACCATTAGAGATGTGAATGATTCCCCGCCGGTGTTTAACCACAAGGAGTACTCCGTGTCCCTGTTGGAGAACACGCCCCCCGGCACGCCCCTTGCCTTGGACATGAGCGTCAGCGATGCTGATGTGGGCATTAACTCAAAGTTTGCCCTGCGCCTGGACGATGTATCCGGAGTATTCGACGTGGAGCCCAAGCTGGTCACCGGCTACTCGCAGGTAAACATTCGCGTGGCCAACGGCACTCTGGACTACGAGAATCCCAACCAGCGCAAGTTTATCGTGCTGGTGGTGGCCGAGGAGACGGACACCAGCCCACAACTCTCCTCCACGGCAACGATTACTGTGAGCGTGCTCGATGCCAACGACAATAAGCCGGTTTTCGAGCAGGAGAGTTACTCCGCTTCCGTTTCGGAGGCGGCTCTTCCGGGTCAGTACATAGCCACCATTACGGCCCGGGATGTGGACTCCGGCAGCTACGGTGACGCCGGCATTCGCTACAGCCTGTCCGGAACCGGAGCCGAGCTCTTCCATGTCAACGAGCAGACAGGTGTCATTAGCCTGGCCAATTGCCATGGTCAGGGCGAGAGCAACAGACGCGAGCGACGTGATCTCCACGAGGATGAGAACGATACGAACGAAAACGAGGAGGACGACGAGAACGGTGAGGGTCACCTGGAAATGCTGTCCATGGAGGCAGCTCCCAGGGAGATTGGCACCGAGCCCACCGTCCAGTACACGCTAATCACCCAGGCGCCAGAGGAGCGGGCATCATCGGTTCCACACGCAGCTCCATCTGGAGTTCCCGCAGCGACTACTAATGACGACAAGGCACCGCAGACGTGTCTGGACTACGAAACGGAGACCACGTACTTCTTGTCATACAAGGTGAGTGACTGTCTCAATCTTCGTGTGCGGGTGGCAAGGTTTTCATGTGCGTAACTTGGTGGCAAAAGTCGTATGTGTCGGTTTTGTGTAGGCAGATCCTTCTTTAACATGTTAATAATAAATAACGAAAGGGGATTAACATTCAGGCACGCGGCCACACGCGGATACATCATTTTAAACACCTTAAAACTGTTAGAACTTAGAAAAATATATTTATAAAATTTAAACAAAATTTAATTTAAATTTTATTTCACTACTTAATATACTATTAAAGCCACTACAGCATTTATTGTTAGCAGTAAATTGTATGTAATAAAAAAGCCTGTAGCAGCGGTTTTATTTACATTTTGCGTCCTATTATCAACATTTTAGTTTTTAATACCCAATCAAATTATAATTTGGATTTTTACCTACTTTGTTTGTTTTATTTAGCTTTCAATTGGGGTTGCATGGAAATGTGTTATAAGGCGCGCATTAATATTATTTTGTACATTTCATAGCAACAACAATTTTGAAATACCGTATACAATTACTATCCATTACAGCAAATTATTGGCCGCCTAAGGGCGCTGTATTATTTGAATTGTGGGCAATTAGTTTTCTAGGCAGATGACATTACATTGTTAAAAAGGGTTTTTTATTGATAACAGTAACATCTGCCGTTTAGGTTTTATATTAATTTTTAACTTTAAAATTTAATATAAAATGCTTATTTCTTTCTGCAGGCCACTGATGACAATGGACGCGGCTCGGCTTCTGTTGTGTCCCTCCGGATCTCCGTGACGGATGCCAACGACTCGCCGCCCGTCTGCGAGAGTCCACTGTACAGGGCCAGCGTGGATGAGGGCGCCGTTGTCTTTGACTCCCCGTTGATTGTCAAGGCAAGGGATGCGGACACTATGTCCAGAATAAGCTACCGAATCCGGGGCTCCGAGCAGGTTGAGGGCATCTTCGACATTGATCGCGAGACTGGTCAGATCAGCATCAGGCCGAACGCAACTCTGGATGTGACCAATTTGAACAGTGACCAGCTCATCTTCGTTGTGGAGGCCAACGATGGACTGTTCACGGCCCACTGCGGGGTCAACATAACAGTGCGGGATGTCAACAACCATGTGCCCGGTTTCGAGCAGCAGAGCTACAGTGCTGTTGTCGAGGAGAACTCTGAGATTGGAACGAGCGTGGAGCGGGTGCATGCCACCGATTTGGACACGGGCAAGAATGCCGAACTGCGCTACCGCATCCAGCAGGGCAGCTTCGATGACTTTGGCATCGACGAACGGACCGGCGAGGTGTTCGTCTCCCGGAAACTGGACTTTGACCGCCGCAACACGTATCAGCTGCAGGTTCAGGCCTCTGATCTGGGCACGCCCAGTCTCACGGGCACAGCCACTCTTACGATAAATGTTCAGAATAGCAATGACAAAGATCCGTATTTCGTGCCGGCCACGCAGCACGCTGAAGTGCGAGCGGATGCTCCTCCCGGCCAACTGGTATACACTTTAATCGCCCTCGATCCGGATGTTGCCAGCCACAATGCCTTGGAGTTTGCCGCCACCGATGACATAACTGCAATCGATAAGGAGGGCAAGGAGTTGCCGCATTATGATCAGTTCAAGGAGTACTTTGCGATTGCCAGAAACGGAAAGGTTTCGGTCAATAAGCAGTTGGATCGTAATCTTTTTGCGGTGATGAGAATCAATGTTCTGGTCACGGACAGCACAGCTCCCAATGTCCAGCAGGTGGGAATTTCACTTGATTTGCAATCTTATTTTGCAATTATAAACTAACTTGCTGATTTTTCAGGGTCGCGGTTTGCTGATCATCCAGATCATTGATGTCAACAAGATTCCTCCGGTTAGTACAATATTTAAAATATTTTTACTTTAACAGTCCTTGAAAAAGAAAAACCTTTTAAGTTAGAGAACCTGCAAATACCACCATATGCCTTTAAATTAATATTTGATTCGATTCTATTGGGAATGTGTATAAGTTATACACAAAGCTAAGATGGATTTAAATTTTGGTTAGTCAATTCCACTTCATCCACACTGTCTGGTCCCAAACTGTGCAATTCCTCGTTGAAGGTGATTAGAGTGGCCAAGTGATTGTGTTGATCCGAATAAATATTCCTGAAAATAAATTGAATCATATATCTTTGTATAAGAAACTTTAGCAAGCAATGCTTACAAGGCCGAGATGCTGCCGCCGATCTTGACTGCCATTTTAATAAGGAAGAAGATAAATACTGCCGTACTATCAGGATACAGATAGCACAAACAACCATAGCCCAAAATAATCTCGTAGAGATTTAGGATGACATTGTCGATGGCCTGCACTATGATGGTGGGCATAAGCAGCTCAGCCTGGGAGTTGGTTAGAATGGGGTATCTAAAAAGTTTTCAGTTTAATTTTAGCATTGAAGAAACTCTTGAATTGAGTCACTCACATGGCCACAATATTCGAAGCCAAACCGACAAAACACAGGAAAAAGCGCACCACAATGAGTCCACTGATAAGAAAGATGAAGATCTCCCTGATCCATATCTCCTCGTTAGAGCTATCCACGCCAGTTTTTACGTTTTTCAAGTCTGCATATAAACGATATACATTTAAATAAGTGGCACTGTGCAGCATGGCAAAGACATTGATGAATAGCAGCTTAAGCTTGGTGTAGGAAAGCTCATTGAGCATTCTTCCAACGAGGAGTTAGATGGATTAGGTAGAAATTTCACTTTAAATTTAAGCAGCTTATGTTGACTCTGTTTCCAAAGACACAAATACAAATACACAAATTCCTTTTCCAGCGCTTCAATGCTCCTTGGAGTGTGGAGCAGCCGCAGATAAAGCTGCAGATGGTGGAGGAGCAGCCGGTGGGCACCGTACTGACCACTCTGCAGGCCACCGATGAGGATTCCAGCATTGGAGAATTCAATATTAGTGCCAATGACTATTTTTTCATCAACCAGACCAGCGGAGTGATCTACACCATTGCCCGTCTCGATTACGAGTCAGTGAAGGAGGTCAAATTCCTGGCCACAGTCAGTGATACGGGTGTGCCCGCTTTAACAGCAACTGCCGATGTGGTAGTGGATATTATTAACCTGAACGACAATGACCCAAAGTTCTCTCAGTCCGATTACTATTTCAACATCACTGAGAACTCACCTCGAGGCACTGTGGCGGGAAAAGTGGAGGCCCAAGATGGAGATGTGGGCGTCTTTGGGGAGATCACCTACACTCTAATCGGGGAAAATAACAAATTCTTTAGCATTGATGCTTATACGGGCAATGTCATGGTGGCCAATGCCTCAATTCTGGATCGCGAGCAGATCAAGGAGCTTACACTGTCGGTTGTGGCCCAGGATAAGGCTCCTGCCACCGTCCAGAAGTCGGCCACGGCAACGGTGAGTAGACTAGCTAATTATAATCACCTTATTTATTTATCTTTACTGTCTAAAGATCCACATCAACATTCTTGATGTCAATGATAACGCTCCCGTTTTTACGCGGGATGTGTATAACTCCACGGTGGCGGAAAATGCCGCCTATCAGCCGCCGGCTGCCTTGCTTCAAGTCCAAGCCATCGACCAGGATGAGGGTCTTTTCGGAGATGTTCGCTATATTATCACGGCTGGCAACGAAATGGCCCTCTTCAAGCTCGATGCTCAGTCGGGCATTGTTTATCCAGCGCAGAGTTTGTCCGGGAAACATGGCGCCTACGAGTTGACCATATCGGCACGCGATACCCAGGGTTCGGGCACCATGGAGAGCTCAACCAAGGCGATCATCACAGTGCTCAGGGTAAATCGCCACAAGCCGGAGTTTGTGATACCCGCACTGTCCAATGCCACCATTGAAATACCCGGAGACATTGTCGAGCCGGACTATCTACTGCTGACCGTTAGGGCAATGGATAATGATACGGAGGAGAACGGAAAGATTAGCTACCACTTGCAGGTGAACAACCGAAACGAACAGCAGACCGGGGAGTTCAAGATCGATGAGGTGACTGGGGAATTGCGAGCAAGGACGCAGCTAAACCGCAAGAACCGAGCCAAGTAAGTGTAGGGCAATTTTTGGAAATAAAACTCTTCTAATTGTTAACTCATTCGATAGCTACGACATTATTCTGGTGGCCCGAGACGCGGGTAATCCTCCATTTGAATCGTTACGCCTCCTCAGCGTTAGTATTGTGGATGCCAATGAGAACCGCCCGGAGTTTCCAGATGCCTCCAATCCGTACAAAGTGTCAATCAACGAGAACAGCGGTCGGGATGTGAAAATTGGACACATACAAGCTGCCTCGCGGAGCAAGCACAACAGGGATATCTTTTACTACATGCTCTTGGGCAATGAAGATGGTGCCTTCTATGTGGACAAATTGACCGGAGATATTTACACTAACAAGAGCCTTGATCGCGAAGAAACGGATGTGTACACGTTGTACATTCTGGCCAGCATCAAGGCAGACTTGCACATCTCGGAAGAGGAACGGGCCGCGTTCTCGATCAAAACCTTAAATCGGGACAACACGGTCGCAAAGGTAGCCATCACAGTGCTGGATGTAAACGATAATCCTCCCGTGTTTGAGAAACCCATCTACTATGCGGGAGTAAATGCCAATGCCAAGATGGGCGCAGCTATCACGTTGGTAAATGCCACCGATGCAGATCAGGGCAAGAATGCCAAGATCGAGTTTATGATCGTCGCTTCGAATTTGTACAAGTTTGGAGCCACCAAGGCCACGGGTTCGATTGTTCCCAGTCCGTTTGCCATATCGCAGGATGGCCGCATCACAGCCAACACGATTATGGCCGAGTACAACCAGGATCGTTTTGAGCTGGAGATTGTGGCCCGAGAACTGGAGCAACCCCAGCGTTCAGCCAGCACCAAAGTTAATGTAAAAGAATCCGTAAAGTTAACTCTTGAATATTGCTTAATGACAATTATTTTTTTTTCCAATGTAGATTTGGGTCTTTGATGGCACCCAGTTGGTCCGAGTAATCCTTTCTCGTCCGCCGGAAGAGGTATATCAGGAGCAAGAGGAGATCATTGCCGAGTTACGCAATGCCACGCAGCACCGCATCATTGTGGACGAGATTCGTTTCCATTTGGACTCGATTGGCCGCATCCGGATGGACTGGTGTGATCTCTACTTCCATGCTGTGGACCCTCAGACCCAGCAGATTGCTCCCGTCGATGAAATTCTAAAGGATATCGACAGGAACTACGATTATCTAAAGGTGATTTCCTTAAACCTTACTCCCTTATGGTTCTTTTAAAACATATTTTACGGTTTTTAGGATTATTATGCCGGCTTTGCCATAGAAAACGTGGTGCCCGCCTACATAGCTATTGTTCAGGATGAGTTTGATCTAGCTGTGGCTGGACTGGTGGCCCTGGTCATCGTCCTTTTTGTGGGCGTCATTAGCTTCATTGTCCTGTGTTGCTGCCTGAAGCACTGGAATCTATCGGTGCCTGTGGAAACACGTCGCAAGGAGGCCCTGATCAAGAAACAGATCATTGAGGACCTAAACACCACCGAAAATCCGCTGTGGATTGAACAGTAAGTGTTTATAGAAGGAGTTTTTACGAAATTAATTTAATATGCTTAATTTTTTCGCTTAGAAAACTAAAACTGTATGAGGAGCAAGAGCTGACCATGCAGGTCTTCTCGGAGCCCGATCACATTTCCAATTCTGAGGCGCCTGGCCACCTGGATCATCGCAGCTCCCTTGAGCAGGTCCATCATGTAGGTCAGTCAGTGGACAACACATATGCCACCATTCAGCCGCGTAATAATCAGAATCGTCTAACTGGCAACGGTGGAGCCGGCGGTGGTTCAATGCGCAGCGGTGGTGGTGCCAGTGCCGGAGGAGTGGGTGGTGCTGGTCTGCTGCTGGCCCGCGTTGATCCACACATGCATGAGTTTGCGGACTATGCCACGCTGCGGAACAATCGGGCGCCATCGGTGAGTGATCACGAATAACAACCGAAGAACAGAACTAACATTTGTTTTCTGACTTTGCAGCTGTACGAGTTCACAGGATCTACATTCCAGGCACCCATTCGGGATGGAGACGACGCTGTGGCTGAGCTGATCTAAGCTTGAAGGGGAGCTGTTGCCCAACAAGATGTGTAAATTATGTAGTAGCTGTGTATCTGTGTAGTAGACAAGTCCATGCCGTGGTTTATTTAAACCGAGTCCGTTCTGTTGCATCTTTGAGTTCGCCGTTGCGTTTACACCATCAATATTCTAGACACGTACATAGCACATGCAATTACTTATAGCAAGAGCGTATATACATAGCCTAGTTGTAACTGCTAAGCCAGCGTTTATCCAAAACTCAAGTAGCCAGGACGGAGAGCCAGGAGCAGAGACAGAACTACAAGAACCCATAGAGGAAATTTTCCCGCATAAATAATGACAATAATATATATGTACTATTATATATTGACAATGTCTAGCCGTAATGAAACGATATGAATATGTAAGAGTTACTAATGTACATCTACATCTGCATCTATACAGTTCAGTCCATTCGAATACTTCCGCGATATTAGTTTTAATGGCGATCAAATGCGTCTAAAGCCAGCCTAAGTTGTATCATTAAAAAGACTAAATTACTTGCTCTTCCAATTCCGTACTACGTTTAGTTGCGTCGCTAACATTTAGTTTTTTAGATCCTAGTTTAATTAGCCAAACTTGCTCATACTCATAAGTTTATATTTTAAGTTGCAGAGAATTGGAAACGAACTAAGTTACTTTTGAACGCTGTTCGAATCCTCACGGAAAGAGCTAGAAACTCATTGTGTTTGCATTTACATTAAACATATTATACAAATAAGTAAAACGAAGTTTACATTTTCTACTCAAAGAGGATTGGATCGAAAAATTTAAAAATGGTTGGGGAACACGATATTTAAGATAATATTTAAGGTAAGTTAAATTATAAACATTTATTTATTATTTTGTTACTGTGGAACCGCTATCCCATATAAATTAAAATGATGTAAATTCATTTAAACTTGATTTTTCAACCTGTTGCTATTTGCCACCAAGTGTGGCACATCAATAAACAACTTTTCGAGGCGTTGCATAGTGCCGCAATGTTGCTAACCAGCGCAGGAAGAACAACAAACTCGCACCCCCAGGAACTTTTCACAGCACAGGCATTTCTGATTTTCCAATCAACAAAATCGTTTAACAAGCCTGCCGATTTTCCAAAACACACACAAGTTCAGATCATATATAGTTTTTGAGTTTTAAATTAAAAGAAACAAAGTCCGTTGAAATGGAGGAGCTCGACATAACCAGCGTGGGTCAGTTCCAGACCCTGGTGCGTTATAACAATCCGGTGCTGGTGGTCAAGCATCCGGACAAGAAGGGTGGCGCTCCGCTGACGGAGATTGAGATGAAAAGGCCCCAAACGGCGGGCGCATTGCTAGATACTAAACGAGAGACAGAGGAGATACTGAATTCGATTCTGCCGCCGCGCTGCTGGGAAGAGGATGGCCAGCTGTGGCAACAGTCAGTGTCCAGCACTCCAGCCACGCGCCAGGATGTGATCAATTTGCAGGAGATGCTGGACACTAGGCTGCAGCAAACTCAGGCCCGCGAAACGGGCATCTGTCCCGTGCGCCGCGAGCTTTACTCTCAGTGTTTTGGTAAGATCAGCTTCTTCCCATTTCCCTGTTCCCATTAACAGTACCTCCCCGCAGACGAGATTATTCGTCAGGTGACCATCAACTGCTCGGAGCGCGGACTGTTACTACTGCGTATCCGCGATGAAATCGCCATGTCCATGGAGGCCTACGAGACTCTCTACTGCAGCTCCGTGGCTTTTGGCATGCGTAAAGCTTTGCAGGCGCACGAAGAAAAGGAAATGCTTCGTGATCGAGTCAAGACGCTCGAACAAGACAAGGAGGCGCTCGAGGAGATCATTGCAGACATGAAGCTGAAGCAGGAGCAGGCCGAGCGCCGCAATGCCGAGCTGCGTGCTTCGGAGGAGAAGAAGTTCACCGAGGAAATCACCTTCCTGAAGAAGACCAACGCCCAGCTGAAGGCTCAGCTGGAGGGCATAACCGCACCCAAAAAGTAGATGGAAATTTATGGTGTTTGGTTTATGCTTCTTGCATTTGTCACTTAAACATTGTTGGAACTTATTGAAATTAAATTATTTGAGCAACTTTACAGTAACTATGACTCCTCTGCCGGAGTGGACTCCTGGGTTGGCTCTACGGTAACCTCCTGATTAACCGGTTCGCTTTGATCCATCTCCGCCTCGTCCACGTTTATCTCGTTAAGAATAGGCGTGGGCTTGAAGGCTTCTGATGACTTTTTCTTCGACACTGGCACTTCCTTGGCTGCTCTTTTTTCTGGGGGCTCGTCGGTAGCTTCTTCTGCCACATTGTCCTCATCTTCCTGGGGAAGCTGGTTACGCATGGCCTGCAACTCTTCTTCGGTAGGCAGAGTGCCCTTCAGCTCCTCCATTTTAGCCATATAACGCTCGTACACAAATTGCGCCATTTCGGACATACTTTCAATCGTTTTGATAGCTTCTCTGGCCACATCAGCACTGGCTAAACGATCCGTGGGATAGCTGTCTTCGGGCACCAGACTTAGCTTCAGAGATCTCTGTGTGAGCTGTGAGAAAATATAGAATATGAGGTCTGTGAAAGTTCCAAAACTGGATATTACACTCACCAGTTTAAAAGTCTGCTGAAGTTCCAGGCAGTTCTTGAACAGGGAGACCCTGCCAAATACATAAAGACCAAGACGTGCACGACTCATGGCCACCACCAGACGTCGCACGTCCCTCAAATGTCCCACCGCCTTGGTGCGCACTAGAGAGATGAGAATATAGTCGTTCTGCTGGCCCTGGTACTTATCCACGGTGGTAATCTTGTGCGGCCAACCGATGAGCGGATTGTTTCCACAGCGTGCATTGATGACGTCGCGGATGAGATGCTTCTGACCATTGTAAGTAGTCAAAATAGAGATCTTAGCCGCGGGATAGCCCATCAGACGCATGTACGTGTAGACGGCAACAATGTACTCCGCCTCAGCAAGATTCTATAATTTTTTTTATAGTTTATAAGATTGGAAACAATGGTGAGCTTAAAGTAGAAAGAGAGCGTGCTTACCTGGTAAAAATAGGGATTGGGTTCGCTTTCACCCACTCCCTTGAAGTCCTCCACATTGATAAGCTGATAGTCGTGCGCAAAGCCAGCATTTGCCTTTTTGTACTCATCCCGCTCAAAGATGTGCTGCAGGTCCTCTAGCTTTTTGTAGCGCCACTTGTACAGCGAGCAGATGCTGGCCCGGGCACGACCCTGTCCATCCAGATCTACAGTTGGCACTCCGAGGCGCACCAGTCTGGTAAACAAGCTCTGTTCCATATTGGAGTACTTTTGGAAGGCCATGTTTTTAATCACGGGCGGCAGCTGATGGTGATCCCCAATCATGATCCAACGTTTTAGGCGATTTAGTCCGTCCAACGGGTTCTGCAGCAGCAAGGGAATGAACGTCTCTATCTCCAGGATCTGAGCCGATTCTTCCATGAGGATGTTGTCATATCGAAAGCCGAGATTGACCAGCTCTTTACGTTTAAGTGCCGCATGCGTACAAGTCATGGCAATGATCTTTGCTTCCTTGACGAGCAGATATTTAGATCTATCCAGACCTGTGCGCAGCAGTTCAAAGGCGCGGAACTCTTCCAATTCGTTGAATATGTCCGAGATGTATCGGAAGTTTGAGCAGGCTGTGTCCAAGAGCTCCTCATAATTCGCACCCTTAAACAGCGGTTGCGGAGCATCCGCGAAGAATTTACTAAAGGGAAACTCCTTCTCAAACACAGATCTGAGTTTCTCAGCATCCGCCTCTTCCCTGTGCACGTTCATCTGGCTCTGGAACTTCTCCCAGCGGGCCATTACATTGTACAAGTAAAAGTAGCCGGCTGTCTCACAGGTGTAAGCATTGTCACCACTCACGCCCAACGCCTCCTGTAGCCGCTGCACCTGGCTAAGCAGGTCCATGCGTTTGGCCAACACATAGTTGACTCGTCCATAGCGACTGAAGTCCTTCTCTGTTTCCAAAGCCTCCTCGCCGTGACCAAGACGTAAAAGATGCCGCTCATCGATGTCCAGGGCCATGATCTTTTCGAACAATTGGTTCAGCGCCTGATTGGAGTGCGTCACAATCAGCGTACGCTGGTTGGGGTGGTTGTGATAAATATTCGATATAATTTGAACTGCCACATCGGTTTTGCCCGTTCCAGGAGGACCAACCACCAGTGTTAGTCCTGGCTGCATTCCTGCTCGAATGGCTTCCACTTGAGTGGGTGTGAAACGGATAGAGTTTCTGAAAAATATCAAAAAGGTTAAACGGGTGCAATTGTTAATAAAAATTCCAAGGGTTGAGTATACTCACTGTTTAGGCTTGTCGCTGGGATATGGTCCCCTAGCCTCGTACTTATATGGCTGCACCACAATTGATTTGGTCAATTCCTGTTCAACCTTATCATCACTCTCCTCTTCGTCGCTTTCCTTATGAATAGGCACATCTTCAAATATAAGTCGGTAGGGCGGCAGGCGCTTTTCCTCGGACACCTCACATTTCAAAGTGTAGGTAGGAAAACTGGCCTCCAAATGCTTGTAATCCAAGAAGGTATCGTTGAACTCAAGACTGCGCTCCTGATTTGACATGTTACTATAGTGGGCGGCTCCAGGGTCACCATAACCCAGGAGGATGTCGTGCAGCCAAGGCGGAACCACACATTCTGTGTTCATTAGATGGCGGATGGTTTCTAAAACGGCCTTGAAGTTATTCTCCTTTGGCTTACGGCGCATTAGGATGTTGAAGCTCTCGTAAACATCGTCGGCACCCTGGAAAAAGATTAAATGAAGTAAAGCGAGTAACATCGTCTCCTGGTGCTTACCTCCTGCAGGTCGTCCATGTCTAGACGGTACTGATTCGAGTCCAGCCACACGCGATAGCATCGCTGTTCGCCTGGCAGCTGTGGCCTTGGTTCCGGTCCATCCTCTATTACCCTTCCGTTAGCATCCAGCATGCCCTCCACCTCGCAGCCACGCACACTGACTAATCCGACCTGCGGAATGAATGGCTCCCGGTGATTATACTTAGTTCCATATGGCTGCGTTGGCTTGACGGTTATCAGGAAGCAGACATCGTGCTTTCGAAGGTTCTCCCATTCCGCCTTGATCTCGCGACGCACAGAGAGTGTCACTCCAACATCGGCACGTACCCTCGAAGGCTTCTTTTCACCCAGATGCGGCTTGGCCACCTCGACCACCGCAAAGCTGGCTACAGGGAGCGCCATTCTTGCCCAGCCTCCGAATACAACATCACCATCTTCCGACTTCCAGGGTAACATGCGGCTTACGGCATCCTCAATGTCCTGCCGGATTTCATAGGTGGACTCCAAACGGAAAAGGTTAAAGTTTCGTAGTAGATAGTCGTGAAGGGTAAGGAACTGTAGGTTCAGCTTGGGCAGTGCAAGACAGCTCTCTCCGGTATAATATTCCGAGGGCACCACATTCTCATCCCAAATAATCTGCTCTGTGGGATACAGAGGCATTTCATTAAGCGCCTCCAGCTGAGAGCAGCGCCGCTCGTGACGCGTTATCAGCAGTTCGCGCAGAAACTGCTCGTCCACACGGTGCCAGTCTAAGGGTGCAGCCACCTCTTCGGGCACAAGATTCAGGAACGTAGCGATTTGAAGGAGTCCCTTGCCATCTAGCCCACCGAAGTGCTGTTCCAGCGACTCCCGGTTGTCTACTGTGGCTACATTGGACAAGGCAAAGACCCGCAGGCTGGGAAACTTGGCAAATACCGCCCGCTGCAAAGAGGTTATCTTTTTATAGTGCAGCTGGGTCATGTCGTGATCGGTAAGAGAGCTGCCGGTGACGTCGTTGATCTCAAAACGAGTGTAAAACTTCAGCATATCCAAAAGCTGCAATTAAAATGTTACAATTTTGCATTTAAGAAGATTGGAAGATGACTGTTAAGATGGAATCCTTTTTAACACTGATTAAAGTAGGTTCATAAAATGTTATACAAGCTAATTTTAATATCAAGCTAATTTGATTCTTATGATTGTTGGTATCTAAATAGTTTCCAAGAATAGTACCAAATTTAAAGCATTTTTCTATAGTCCAGTATTGATCAAATTGTTTTCCCAATTTAGAAAATTTGCAAGCAGATCTAGCTATTAATATATATGTATAACCCTCATGCTCCCTAATCCGCTCCTGTACGCCTCCCTAAGCGCGTGCATTGAATGGAACGTGTTTTGCTGTTTTACTACCTGCCCTCGTGAGTTCTACAAACTCACGCAAACATGCCCTCTATTTTGTTCTCTTTTTCTCTTAATTTTTACCTGCACTACAGGTATTTAAAGACAGACGAACTTTATGTGCATGTGTGAATGTGTGTTTGTAAGCCAAGCCGGTTGGTCTGCCCCAAAAGGTTGATACGTCATCAGTTTGGGCAAGTCTACTAATACAGTCGTACAAACTAACAGTAAGTGTGCCTGTGCGAGAGAGTGCTAATTAGGCTAGCCAGGTGAGCGGAAGTCCTTGGGGAAATGGTGGGGGACTTTTCTTGAAACCCAATACATGCGTGTATGTTCAATAAAAATCTTTGGTGAAGGTTAGCTGAAGGGTGTTGTTGGTCAATTTTTGACTTAAGGAAATCTTTGAAGATGAACCCTGTCTCCCTGCTCTCCTACTCCATGTGTGTTTTTGTGGAGGTGCGAGAGACAAGTGTGATGACAAGGCACGCGTCATGAGGATATTGCACACAGCTGCATCCTATCACGTCGCATCATCTAGTCGCATCCTGAAAGTGGAAAAGGGCGGGGGAGCACCAGAGAGTGTCAGAGGAGCAAACAAAGCCTTCACATACTTATACAGGCAGACATTGCCGGTTCCTGCTTTACTTGTACTGACTACTTGCTCCAATTGATAATTTCCGTCGCTCAATTTAAACAAGAGAGCAGGAAGCGGGAACGAGAGAGAAAGAGGGAGCGCATTCAAAGCCCTGCTTCAACTTTTTATACACTCTTTTATTGAAAATGGTATATCGTTTACCTGGCAAAGTCTGTAGTAAAGATCCTCCAAAGTGTATTAGACCCGTGTCTCTTAAATGTTTTTTACGAATCCAATTTGCACGCATTCTAACTAAGATTCGAACTTTTACCTGATGTAATTATGTATAGGTTTAGAAGGTATTTAAGCGATAGAAAGTGTACTTCGAATTTTCCTAATCCATAGCCAACATTTTTGATAGTAAGTAATTCTGTTTTATGCTAGGTTCTGTCAACAAACAACTAGTTAAAACCGTGGGATTTAAAACTTTGTAGGGTATCGGCTAGCTCATGGTCGGAGCACTCGACTTAGCGTTTTTTCCTGTTTTCACAGCGAGAGGGAGCGCTTTGGTGGGGGTTGAGCGCTACTCTCCCAACTCTCCACGCTCTCTCCGCCTTAGTGACTAGAAGTTAAGAGCAAGCGGCAGAGACTCATTCGCTTTTTGTCGTCGCTTCGAATCGGTTGATGTTTCCCCTTCAATTTTCATTTTGATTTCAATACAAATACTGTTTAAAGAGGAAGTAAATCGCGAGTTGTTTATTAACTGGATGTGAGTCTGAATCCCAGACTGATTTACCCTTTTGGGTGTGTTTTATACAGAAAAGTGTCGCCTTACCTTAGTTCTGGTATTCAAGTCATGATCTTGGTTCACAGCCGGCATCTTGATGACGCATTTCTTAACAAGCGCAGATCCACATAAACAACAACGAAAACAGCCGCTTACTTGTGTATTTGTATCTGTATCTGTATCTGTGTCTGTGTTACTCAGCAAAAGATGCTCGTAAAAACGCTTGGCGCGCATTTTGCATTCGGGCAAAATGCAAAAAAATGCAGCTGCTCCGCTCTACTGATTCCCCTGCTCCCTGTACTACTCCTTACTTTACGCCCACTACCGGTAACCAGTCACGTCACTAGTGGAGGATCACCATCGGGGGTAACATCCGATCCCCACGTTGTGCTGATCAACAAATGCTGCGAGAAGTTCGAGATACACGTGGACAGCGAGTGCCAGCAGGTCAACAAATCGGGTGAGTCCAACAGCTGGCCAGGCGAAAGACTCCTGACCCCTCGGAAAAGTTACCATGACAACCACCGCGGAGTTGGTTGGCCATTCAACTTTATGGATTTTCCCTCCTGGCATGCAACATATGTATGCTCAGCATTAAATGGCCCATTTGTTAGCTATCAGTGGATCAGTGGAACGCAGCCAGCAGCTACAAATTCACCCCCACTCACTCACTCCCCCAAACAAGTTCTTAACACAAACATAGAGTGGCCCCAATATGATTTATGCCGTGGGGCACGCTTCTGTTTAAACTTTAAAGTAGCCACTTGATGGGGAGATTCCCAACAAGTCCATTTCATCTTTACAAAAATGAAATGAGCCGGAAAATCCATTAGCAAGGTATTATGAATGCAACTGCTCTCCTTAGATTTGTGTAAATGGTATTATGATAAATATGCAGAAGAATAATTTATTGGTTTGAGATTAATGAAACAAAAGAAAATATTATGACTACTTAGCGAAGTAAAAAAAAAATGTTATCTACCCAGTTATGTGTTTGGCAAACAAAAAAAAAACAATTCTGGGAAGTAAAACAAAAGGCGTAAAAGCAACTAAATAAAAATTGCAATTGAACTAAACATTAACAACCTCGGATCGACCATTTAAGTACACATAAAAATGGTACTATATAAAATAGTTGAATCACTAAACTGATCTCATCAGTTTTTAATTGTAGGGATTTGAGTAACCCCAAGAATAAAGCACTGCACATAATTAACACATGCAATCTAATTTCCGTGTGCTCAGATTTGATTAACATATCAATGGATTGAATTGAATAAAAGTGCAGCAACTGGAGAAGAACAAATCCATACAAATTGCAAAAACTCAGAAAAAACAGCTGTTGAAGTTGCATTTCAGCGATCACGTTCTTCGCCTTGAAGCGTAAATATTTGTATAGGAGGAGGGAAATGAAAAGCTGGCTCCCCTCTGATCCACAGAACCAACAAAGGCGGCAAGAACTTGAAGTGTCTTAATGATTCTCCACGCTCTGTGTTCTCTTTATATCTTTGATTTTTATTTGCAGACTACTTCCAACCCATGTTCACCAGCTATGGAGGGGAGCAAAACAGGCCCCTTAAATTCAAGTTCGTCATCGGCATTCCCAACTGTGGATCCATGCAGATGTGGCCCATATACCATTATGCTGGGGTGAGTCGAAGGTCTACTTTTCAGGTGCAATAGATGCTTATTGATATTTTTCAATTCAAGAGCTCTGATAAGCTGGTGCTACTGGACGATGGCAAGCTTAGGCATTACACTAATGCTGAGAACGAGGACCAGGAGCGTCAAGGAATACAGTCGGACTACGAGGAGGACATTGTCGGCAGCCTGGAGCCACTATACCACGACTACGATAACGGATTGTATTGCATCGATAAGGTAGGAATTACTCCGGTACAAATAAATTGAATAATTATTAACAAACCCCATTTACAGGCTACATCCAGCACTGGTGAAGAGCATGTTCTTTTTGCCAAGATCTGCTTGGCTCGCAAGGAGATCAAGTGGAGTGATTCCAACTTTCTGCTCCGCAAGATCTTGAACCCCATATTCCATGGAATCTCTCTTATCATCTTGCTGGTTATCGCCATTATCTATTTCATACTCCCGACACTCAGGTGAGCAAAGGTGCTGAATTCGACTTCCTTCATGCGTTAATTTTACATCCATTCAGCAGAGATCTGGTAGGAAACATTGTCACAACGATAGCTTTGTGCCTGATGGTCAGCCAGGCCGCCGACCTGGTTCGGATCTTCACCGAGCTGACCAGCCATGTTAGCTTTATTGTGGCGGACATAATCCTGTGCTTCAGTCTGTTGGCAGCCTTCTTCTGGCTAAACAGTTTCGGGTTTTACATCTGGAAGACTTTTCGTTCAAGGAACGTCTTTTTGCGGGTCACGGATGGCAGAAAGTACTGCTACTACTCTGCCTATGCCTGGGGATGTACGGCTACGATGGCTGCACTGGCCGTCTTTGCTCATTTTTTCCTAGACGCAGAGTCCTATAAACGGGAGCAGATGGTGGGCGAACAGGAAACGATCGGCTGGCTTGGCATTTGCATATTCTTTGCGCCGATTGCTTGCACGATTTTGGTGAACATATTCTTCTTTGTTACCACCAGGAAGCTGATCAATCGACGGACAGTTTACGGCCGCATTGCCCACAAACTGAAAGCCAAGTGAGTCAACTATTCGTTGTCCACAAAATGCGATTTTAAAAATAGTCTCATCATCAAAAATGTCCATTTTTCTTACAGCTTTATCATGTTCTCGCTGATGCTGTTGGTAATGTCGATAGCCTGGCTGTTTCTCATTATGTCCTGGCTGAAGCTGGAGGGTCTGCTATATGCCCACATCGTGGTCAACGCCGTACAGACACCGCTACTACTTTACATCTGCGTGCTGCGGCAGCGACATGTTACTTTCCTGCTGAAAAAGACCTGTTGCTACAACGAGCCCCCCTCGGCAAATGACTGGGGCGATGAGCTGCACTACATGAACGGCAACGACTACTAAGGAGCCACTGTCCACAATAATTTAAGTGTTTTTGTAGTTTAGCAATGTCTAACATTGAGATTTGTACTTAAATTTAACTTATTTATGATGTACGAGATTGTAATTAAAAGAGAAGTCTGATACCCACCTGTCCGAATAGTTTTCCCTCCTCGCGACGAACAAGGGGCGACAGAAGAGCCCGCACAATGAGGTGGCAATCGTCCAGAACTGTATTGAAAAAACGACGCGTGGGCAGTAGGGCCTCAAGGTCGATGATGAACTCCAGAAAACGCTCGCAGTAGTGGACCACATTAGAGGCCACATCGCCTTCGGCGGGAATGCCCTCCAGGATGTGCAGAAATTCTATGATTAGGTTTTGCATAAAGTGCCTTTCCCACAGGACCTCGGGCTTGCTGTCCTTCTCCTTCTTGAGAAGGCGTTTCCAGTACTTGCGCCACTCGGGCACATCCCGAAGCTCCTGTTCGCGGCGACCTAAGGAAATAAATCAAACATTGGTTTATTTGCGTGCAATTGAAAGGATCATCTAATGACTTACGCGGCTGCAGGCAGTGCCACATGGACAGGGAGACCAATCGCTTGGCCTGCTCGCGGCACAGCTCGATCTCCATGCTATTGAAGCAGTGGTTTATGAACATCAGCAAGGCCGTTCGCTCCCTTAGCGTGCTGCTCGCCTCCTTGGCCTTCTTTGCTGCCAAACAGCTCTCCAGCACGTGGCGGAAGAAGGCCGGATACTGATCAGGCAGTTTCTCGAACACTGTCCACACCTCGACGCGCTCCCGGAACTTCTCGTTGGCCATTATCACGATGGACATGAGGTGGGCATGGGTGGCGGTCTCGCGCTGGTAATGTGGCCACAGATACTGCTCCAAGTACTGACTGAATTCCAGCATGTTAATCCGGCGCGCACTATGTCCACTGCCTCCGCCGATCTCCTCGTTGTAGATGCGCTCAATGATCTTGGCGCTATAAGGCAGGTGATCCGCCTTTGTGTCCGGCGTCCAGTACTGTGATGCCAGCTGTGAATCAGTTTTTAAATAGTTGAAATCCGCCCTTAGATTCATCCTGCGGAGCACTCACCTGCCAAATGACATCGGAATTCAGCTGAGCTACAGTGAGGGCTCCAACCTTGTCCTTTGAATTTTTACTGGCCGGCGTGGCCTGTTGGGCCTGCGTTTGACTCCTACGCTTCATGGTATCCTTATAAAATTGCTGAAAAACGAATATAAGCGCACAAATCTGCAGCAAAACAAAACGCCGGTCGAAAGTGTGACCGTAGTTGGATAGGGTTAAAATACTCATATGTAAATCTGTACCTACTATGCTGTTCCCACCAATTCCATAACCCACTGCAAATAAAATATAACATATAGAAATTAAATATTCTATAGTAGTTTAAATGTTTTGTAATTATACTTTTGAAGTGGGTTCCAAAATGGATTTGAAACAGTGAGCTTATAACAATTTTTTTAAATCTAAAAGAAAATATTACATATTTCAAATTCAAAGTGAACCTTTATTTTTAAATTCAAAATCTAAAATCCATTATTTTACATAGAATAATGCATAGAATATAAGCATAAATAGATAGACATTTTTTCCTCCTTCTAGAAATATCCCTAATATTTTCTTTTGCGATATGGCAGCATTGCGAACGTGACAGTTTTTTACAGGTCCGGCAACACGACAAAAGGTTTTTGTTTACAGCACGCCGGCACTGGTTTTTAAGATAAAAAGTGATATTTAATCGTAATTTAAGACATTTGTTACATCTGAGAACTCGCCATGTCGCAGACAATGCCGCCAGAGAACCTAAGCGTGAGTAGAAGATATTACTTAAATGCAATTTGGCTAAAATGACTGCACATTCCAGAGCCGCCTGTTGACGGTGCTCAGTTTGCCTTTGCTAGATCGCCTGCACGAGTTGAGCATCCTGTTCGATCGCTGCTCTCTGCGCCAGATCCAGGAGATATTTCCCCACATCGTGCACTCCATTTTCGGGATTAATGGCAATCCCTTGGGCTGGGGCCTGCGGACGACGACGCTGGAGAACAGTCCGCTGCACTTCCAGACGCTGCACCAGTTCTTCGGCGTGTGCGGTCCCTGGATGCACCTCTGCCACCGCCTGCTCCTGGACCAGTGCAAGTTCGAGCTGGACATCAATCTGCTGCCGGTGAGTGGTGGTCCTAGGTCTTGTTGTTCCTCTGCTAAGAGTCCCTTTTCCAGGCCAAGTTCGTTAGCATGCTGCAGTCTGGCCAGAGTCCCAGATTCTATGCGGAGCTCATCAATATCGACTCGATGAAGCACCAGGTGGCCACGCTCTCGCTGAACGCCTTCGACTTCTACGTGATCCACTTCGTGCTGTATGCTCTGCAGCCGCTGCACTCCATCAATCCCATCGCCATGCAGATCCACAATGTGCGCAGCAAGACAATCTATCTGAAGCTGGTGTCCGAGTACCTCAACAACTTCCTGCCCCTCGTTCCCGATGCCCGGATAGAACCCGTCCAATTCAGTAGCGGCGTTAAGGCTCCACAGCCGCTTCCCGCCCAGGCATTGCAGCCGCAAAGGCAGCCGCGCTACATCAAGATTCCCAGTTCTTTTCGCAACGGAGGAAACGTTTCCGGAGGAGCAGGCAGTCCGACATCCGGTGGTGGCAGCGGGAACACCTCACCGCAGTCCAGCAGCCCAAATGCCAGCGCAAACAGGGCCTACGCCTGGCGTTCGGAGAGTGTTCTCCACTTCTTCGTGGACATCTGGCTGCGCTACGACATCGAGTCGGAGCACCACCTGCCCAGTAGCGATTTTGTGCGCGGCGTACGCACCTTGGTGAAGCAAGTCCACTTCTTTGCCAATGGGGCTCAGCAGGATCACACTTCACTCTGCGCTCTGCGCAAGGTGTCGTTAAGCATGGTAAAGGCCAGGATCTACGCCTTTCTGTGCGGCTTGATTGATCGTTGGCCCCTGGACAGCTCGCTGATGGTGGTGCTGGAGCTCTGGCTGAGTTACATCCAACCGTGGAGGTACACCATGGCAGCTTTAAACAATAAGACGTAAGTTTACACTTCTAAAATTAAATGTGTTCAGAACATTAATAGACTTTATTCCCTTTAGACCTAGCCTTGCCTACAGGCCGCCCATTCTGTCCTGCTTTGATGGTTTTATCATCGATAATCTGATTATGTACACGCACATATTCATGCAGCTGCTGCCGCACTTTGGGCGCTTGGACTATACCGTCTATCGAAACGCCTTTATGCTGTACCGCCTGGCTACAATGTTCGCCCAGCATGATTTAGTGGAGCGGCTGCAGCGTTTCGAGCGTATACATGCGGGCAATGCCTATGGCTTCGACTCGCCGCAGAGACAGGTCAACATTATGAAGTGGGTTAATGTATTTAAAACAAGGACATTTCAGTACCCTAACACTTTTAATTATTTTGCAGCAAATCCTATTCGCCAGGCTCTCAGTGGAACCATGTGGTTAACACACACTCGACCAAGCTGTTTAGTCATTCCATGCAGGTTCAGATGGAGAGCTTCCTTTTCCTGATCAGCATGGCCCGAAACTCAGTGCTCAGGGACATTTCTTCGTTGCGAAACGAAATTGCGGAGAGGCAGCGCTCTGAGGGATTCCTGAAGAACTTCTTCAACAAGCTCTTTCGCGAGTGCACCCAGGATGAATTAACCCTGCGCGAGCTCAGTCGCATTCCGGAGGTTCTGCGTCAATGCATTGATGCCTTCTGCCGAACGTTTAATGTAAGTTTGTTGGTCAAATTCCAGAATTTGCTGTTACCTAAGTTCTTGGGATATTTTATCAGGTGGATCAAGCCAACCTGTCCATGCACGAGAACCTGCCAGAGGAACCTTGTCCCCCTGCCGCGACAACGGTTCAGAATTTTAGCTTTTTCGACTCCAGCAACTCTTTAGACAGGTCTAAGCTGAACCCGCACCAAATGTCCCTCAATGCATCCAATATGCATGCCACTGTTGATCCAGCAATGCTGCCCATCCAGACCAATGAGGTCAGATCGCTAGTGAGGATACTGCACTTTGTATCCGACAAAATCAACAGGAGGGTAAGTTTAAATAAAAGGACATCGTAGACTTGATCTTATGCAATTAACTTTAATATTTCAGTATGGCAGCCAGATACAAGCTTTCTATGTTCGCGACGATTACTGTGGAAAGGTAGCGAGGCAACTCCTGTACGCTCCAATGACGGAGCAGTGGTTCGACAAGAGCTCTGGCCAAGTGGATATATGTGAGAGCGTGGTTCCTCCGCGGGTTTGTCTACGATCTTTAGGCTCTATTCCCGTTCTCATTACGATCGCCTCTGTCCTAATCCTTGGGCAACTAATATGGGGAGCCCCAATCGTGGGTCTATTAGTTCTGGGCACTGTGCTGATAGTGTACACCTTGCTGCAGGCACTGTTTTCCTAATTTGAAGTTTTATTCTAGATAGATTACTAAAGGTGACATTTATATATTTTTATAAAACTAAAGAAACTACGATTACGATTATGATTACGATTACTGCTATTTTATGATTATGTTAATGCGGGTATGACTGTATCACACGGTTCGGGGCCGCAGGGCCAACCGCAACGTCTGGTCGGGCACGGTGACCATGCGGAGTACGCTGTCGACGGGCTGCTCGTTGAGACATCTCATTTCGAACTGGGAGACACAGCGGCCAAGCAGGGAGTGCAGCTGCTTGATTGCCACACGGCGACCGATGCAAGACCGCTGGCCAATGGCGAAGGGAAGGCTGCCGTGCGATTGATGCACCTGCTCCGACTGGCCGATGCACCAGCGCTCCGGCAGCACCCTATCCGGCTGCTCGAAGTGAGACGGATCGCGCCCTGCCGTGTACAGCGAGAGCAGCACCATTGTCTGTGAGATAAAAGGGTAAGGGATTAGACTTGCCCTCCAGCAAACTCCTTTTACCCACATCTTTTTCGATAAAGTGACCGCCCAATTGCGCATCCTGGGGCAGATAGCGACCAATGAAGGGCGCCACGGGGTACAGACGCAGTGACTCCTTGATCAGGCCATGCAGCAGCCGAGAATCATTGGTGGATCGCTCTCTGGCCAAGCGTTTCTGGAGCAGCGGTTCCTGGGAAAGGGCAAACAAGGCCCACTGGCTGCTGAAAGCGGTCTGGCGAAGGAAGAACTTGGATTATGAACTGATCTCCGCTTTAAATTGTACAAGTCGGCCTCACCGTGTCACCTGCTGCAATTACCAAGTCCACAAATATCCGCTTGATCATCTCGCCTGGCACTTCTGCCGCCTGGAGACGCTGAAAGAGGGCCTCCTCATGGGGTTGCTTCTGATCCTGCTGCACTCCGATGCAGTGATCGATGATGGCGGCCCCCTCGCGCAGCACCTCATCCACATTGGCCTCGAAGTCGCGCCAGATGGGCAGGCGCAGCATCTGGGCCAAACGGGGCGGAAATGTCATCAGACGCGAGCTATGCTCGAAAACCTTGTGGACAATCTGGGTGAAGTGATCCAGGGCGGACTGGGTTTTGGGGCAGGTGAGCACGCTGGTCCCGAACATTATGCAGCACAGTACTGTGGAGAGATATGGTATTTAATAAGGGATAATTTTTAGGAATGGAAAAATATCACAAGATATAATATTCTAAAAATTTTCAGAAAGTGTCTTACGATAAAATGGTTGAAAGGACCATGATCGCTTGAATTTCCATTAACCATTACATAGTATTCCAAGTTTTCACTTTAAAAACGAATTCATGCAATATAGTTTAAAGCGCTTTTGGAGTCATATAATGGGAATCTTAACAGGTACATGTGTCTAATCTATAATCCACGAACTCTCACCCTCTATGGACCAGCGATAGAGCTGCTGCTCCAGCAGGGGCAGCTCGTAGCTCCGGATCTCGCCTCCCTCCTCCAGCGGTATCGCCGCCATCGTCACCTCCGCCGTGCGACTCCGCCACTGCTCCACCATCCGTCTGGTACAGCTCTCAATATGCACGTCCATCCAATTCAAATTTCCGTTGAGCAGCAGGCGATTAAGTATGCGTCGGTTGTGCAGCCACTCGGCGCCCTCCCTGCTCCCATCGAAGAAGAGAACAGAGATCTGTTTTGTAGACTCCTCATTTGCAATTCAACGGACCGATCTGGTCCACTCCACTTACATGAAGAACAATCCACGTTGGCAGGCATGCTGCTGGTTATAGAGCGTCCAGGCATCCGGCAGCGGATGCTGCGGATACTGACCCTCGTGCTGGAAGACT